AGCGCGTAAGAAATTAGCTATATTAGCTATATCTATAAGATAAGAGAAGAATTCTCGCTTAACTAGATTAAGTGTATACTAAATAATTACTCTCTTCTTAGTCTTATATAAACTTATTATTATTAGCTTATAATCTACCTATAAGAGTTATCTAGCGTATTAATAGCGTAAAGTTATATAAGAGACGTTATAAGTAGCTACAGCGCGTTATAATAAAAGAGTTACGTCTTATTTAATAGCTTAAAGCGTAGTCTATATTCTAGCTTTTTTTAGTAGTTCTATCTAGTATAGTTAATTAGGCATTATAGAGTAGAGATAGTTTTAGTAAGGTTTTAGCACAGGTAGACCGCGAAGCATGCTAGACCGCGAAGCATGCACCTACGTTATATAAAAAGCTATTAGTAACCTAGGTCTAAAAAGGCAGAGCATTGGGCTGGCATCTTTTTCACCGGGCAAGTCTACGTGCAAAGCTCATGCTTGTGGAGGCGAAGCCAAGCTGTGCCAATGCGTGCAGGGAGGCGCGCGCCGGACGAAAACAGATCGGACGGGGCAAAGTAAACATCGGTACTGCCTCAGCCCCAGACTGCGCCAACCATCGCGCCAGTCGCATCCCGTAAACAGCACTACCTATAGGGCAAACCCGCACTGCTCAGGGCTGCAGCGACTAGAAGGACAACGCACCGTGGTCGTTCGCCATCTGACCTCACGCTTACTGCGTCCTTCCGTTCTGCGATGCTTGGAATACCACCCACCAAGAGCCTGGGGTTGTCATAGCAGCTTTGACTCCTAGGTAATCCGCAACGAAACATGTACTGTATCAATTAGTATAGACAAATTGGCACTTTCTACTATCTACGACCCCCCAAACCCCTTCTCCAATCCCCTCAGCCAAATCCCCGCGGCATACGCCCCCGGATCAGGAATCTTACTCCTCTCACTCCCATCCTCACTAATATACGTCGCACGTCCAAACTTGGCCTTCATATCCTTGGTACTATCCGCCTTTTTCTCCGCGACATCCACGCTCTTGCTCAAATCCTTACTCTCAGCCAACGTGTTGATAAACGGGATCAACACGTCCATGACCGTCCTATCGCCTTCCCGTGCACTAGTATAGTTCTTCAGGTTCTCGAGAGCGGAAGATGCGGAGGAAGCGAGGGTGGAGATATCCAGCGGTGCGCTTTGGGAAAGTGTGGCGTTTGATAGCGCGTTTGTGAAAGCGGTGACGAGGATGGACAGGATGGCGCCGAGGGAGCCGCCGACGTCTTCGACGTTTTCGCCTATGCTTTCGAGGAGGGCGAGGATGGGTGGTGGGCTGCTTTCTACAGCGTCGATATTGGCGAGGATGGATTTGCAGACGCCGGCTACAGCTTCGCCGCAGTCACCGTCACCCATTTGCAGATCGTATTGTGTGATTGTGGGTTCGGCTGCGAGGGCGTTTTTACAGGCTTGACGGAGCGCGGGGATGAGGGATGCTGGTGTGGCAGGGCCCTTGTGGAGGAGGGATTTGTCGGCTGCGGCGGCGTTGGCTTTGTTGCGGAGTTCTTCGGTTTCCTTGTTGATGTTGAGGGGTTGGTAGCCGTTCTTAGGCCATGCTGGAGCGTTTGTGGGTGCGTCTAGCAGTTCCATGACGTCCTCGTCTTTGAGGTCCATGGCCTTTGCCATACCGCTCATGTTGCCGAGTGTGATGCTGAAGCCTTGGGCATTCAGCGATGTCTCCAACACGCCGGCGTAGATGCGCGTTGGTACGATCTTCCAGTCGCGCTTTAGGGCTATTAGGGCGAGGTTCACCAAGGCGTCGAATTCGAGGTTTGATAGGCCGCCGAAGTTGTTGACGAGCATGACGACGTTGTCGTTGGGGTTGAAGGTGACGAATGCGCGGTCGGAGTCAGAGGGGTCGAGAAGGTAGCGGAGCATCTCTTTGATCACGTCTTCGGGACTGGGCATCGGGGAGATGGTTCGTAGACCCTGGGGAAGTCAGTTGCGGCTCTAACGTTGCTGGGTATGAGATAGCGAAACATACAGGCTCGTTGTGAATACCCATACCAACCACACAAGCATCGTCCTGCACACTCTCGAAAGCCTCTCGACCCGGTACGTGGCAATGGTCCAGACTCGTGCCAATAGTGACCAGCTGCGAGTTACCCAGCTCGCCAATCTTCCTACACCGCTCGAAAGCCCAGCCTTTCTGTGATGCAGCACCAGCAAGCTTGATAACCAACAAGTTACCAGCCAGTCCTCTCCTTCCCACCTTGCCGCTCTTCTCGCGACCCAAGGCAGCGTCTTCTGCCATGCACACAACGTCGACCTTGTAGCCTAGTGCTTGTCCCTTCTCTCTGGCAAGACCAAAATGCAGCATGTCTCCTGTGTAGTTCGTAATGCACAGTATTACACCCTCATTACTTGGTACATTCCGTATTCCGGCCATGATCTGCTTGGTACTGGGAGAAGCAAAGATGTCACCGCAAACCGCAGCTGACAGCATGCCGTCGCCAACGAAGCCGGACCATGCCGGCTCGTGCCCTGAGCCACCACCAGATACGATGGTGACTTGATTCGGAGGGTGTGAGAGGTTGTAAACGACGCGGTTGGCCTCATCGAGCGCCATGTGGGAGTTGCGTGTGCATAGTGAGCGCAGGTTGTGGAGGACTACGCCCTCCGGGTTGGGGAAGAAATGCTTTCTCGACATTGTAGCGGTTCGTATCAATGGGTATAGTACCCAAAAGTCTGAAGGTTGTTAGCGACTGTAACGTGTTTGACAACCGTAGTGTGAAGCCGGGGGCGGACGGAGAACGTACCTCAATTCAATCACGTATGCCAACGTGTACCCAACTCGAAAATGGCGGAATTGGATCCAAGCAATCAAGACACGCGGCGTACCGCCAATTCAGCCGGGCATCGTGCCTTTTAAACAAGTCCCCCGCAGCCCCCGCCTCGATCAACATCATGACCATGAACCCCGCTCGTGGGCACCCCGTCAACTCAATTTTTCGGTGCCAGGTATTCAACACGCGTCTAGAAGCCTAAACACGCGCTCAAATTAGCCCGAAACGATGTCAGAATGATATGCCAGGCTTGGGTATACTGCATTCAGATAAGTGGGCTGCTGGAAGCTGGGGAGAGGGTCGTGTTTGCGCCGGGGTTACCGCTTTGGGGATGCCGGGCGGAAGCTTGGCTTTTGTGGAGGAAGCTCGCATCGGTCGGAGCTCCGAGAGCTATTAGGTCGGCGCCTCGCGACGAGACGCTGGCAGTACCTGCAGTATCCGCGCGGTTCGTAGGATTTGCGACCTCGCGGAACAAATCTGGGCTTTGTAGGACACGCGTGCAAGCCTGTCAAAATTGGATTTCGAGTGTGCAGGCAAGCTGATCGTATTGATATCATCGCAAAAGGAAGCGGGCTATGATCGCTCCCTCCTCAGTACCTGCAAATCGATGGAGCGCCTCACTCACAACTCTCCGTTATCCAGTGCCCACACATCATGACAAGAAGCCGAACAATCCCCTCAGGAAAAGCCAGACCCCCATCAAGACTATGACTTTCTCGTCAAGCATGATCATATAGCCACAAATGATCTTCTAGTCAAACATGATCTTCTTGCCCTTCAACAGTGTGCCACCGAGCAGTTTGCCAACTGCGTATCCAATGTAAGCGCCAGTAACGATGGTAACGGGCCACTTCTGCCATTCGCGGTCCCTGTATTTCATTAGCTACGCCCATTGCATATACGTTGTCGACTCCAGTCTCAACGCTGAAGTCGGTCAAGTACTCACCAATCCAAAGGGATGGGTACAGCGCCCAGCCATGCACCGAGCACGGTACCAATCAGTCCTCCGTAGACTTCATCCATCGGCAAAAGTAGCGCAATGATTTGCCTCCAAGTCTCGCCGTCTACACCGTGTACGTATACCAAAGGCAATGTGCTGAGTAGCGCGATGTGGGCTCCAGCGAGGAGGGTGTGCATGTGATGCGTGGTGGCAGGCGCGCCGAAGAGAACGAGGGTCGCGGTGAGGAGCGGTGTTGCGGCGAGCGTAGTCAGAAGGAGGGATAAGAATGCCGGCTGTGTATCGTATAGTCAGTAACGTTTCCTTCTAGTTGGCTGTCGCAAGTCCAATGTAGGCTGTACGAGTGGGAGTGTAGACGTACGACGATCTTCGAGTTGAGCCCCTGCTCCAGCTTGCCCGGTGCCTTCCCCTTCTTCTCACCAGGCTTCTTGTTCTTTAAGGAAGGCGTGCCTCCTGTTGGCGGAAGGCATACTGCTACAAAGGCGATTTGCAGCACGGCGAGCGGCGCCAGAGTGGAAAGAAGCGTCGGCACCGGGTCCGCGACCAAGGCGGGAAACTTGAAGGCATAGACCGAGAGAACAAGTATCGGGTGTATATGCGTGTAAAGTCGCGCACTATCGTTCTTCAAAGGCTCAATTGGCGGCGCCGTGGAGGGTTGAACCTTTGACGTCGCGTTGGCGTTGATGACAGTTGTGCTGGCCATGTTTACGAGTGAGATGGGAGACAACGATGCACGCTGCTGTCAACGTGATGAATATGTCAATTGACGACGCAATGCAGGGTGAGTGGCGTCTAAAGGAGCGGAAGTGGCGTCTGGCCTGTTGGATTACTGTGGTCGAGGGTACTGCGGAGAGATGTCGCGCATCGGAAAGTTTCGTGATGATGTCCGTGCTGCTCGCTCATTGGACGAACAGCGGACATCCCTCGAGCACCTCCATGGTTTGTGGGAAGTGGTAAACACATATGGATCGTGATGGAATTCATTTTCGTCCATCTCGTAGCGTGTTTCTCGTGCGCCATGTATCTGGGCAGAAGCATTCATTTCGCAGCACCTTGCAGACATCTACTGCTTCTGCTCGCCCTTCTTCGGCAACAGATTCCTCAAAGACAGATCGTAGACAACGTCCTCCACATCCTTGACTCGGTACTTCAGTCCGTCGCTGCGGCGGCGTAAGCTGTCGTTCTTGAGGTTGAGGATCTGGAAACCCGCGTGCAAGTCCTTGACGAACTGGTTGATGAGAAGCGGACGCTCGTAATCACCGAGAGTGACGGCGTTACGTGCGAGACGTGTCTGTCATTGTCAGCATTGATGCGGGTTGGAGCTGAGCGAGGCAACGAACCAGTTCTTCGACGAGCGTCATGAGAGAATGGAGGTACTCTTCGAGCGAGAGGTGGAATTCATCGCGGTCCTTGAGGTTCACGGGAACTGCGATGGTGAGCGGAGCGCATGTGCACCATAAACCTAAACATACTCTTGAAGATCTCGCCGAGCTCCTCGATGGTCAAGAGACGGCCGCACTGTACCTCGCCACCATCGTACTTGTAGCCGCCGAGCCAGCCCCAGAACAGAGCGCTCTCGCACTATCGTGTTGTTAGCATTGCGATGGCGATATCATGTGATTGATGAGCTTACTGCGCCCTGCATCTGACGGCTCCACATGTTGTTGAACTTGTAATACGGCATCTTTGACGCAGCCTGCGACAGCTTGCCAACGGTGTCGATCACATTTTCGATAGGCTCTTGTGCAGCTTTGAGAATGTCGGGTACTATAGTCTGATTAGTCGTGGTGTCGTTGGACAGGCGAAGAGCGACTCACGCTCGTTGACCGGCGTCGAGTGGGCTCTCGACAATACGAAGGAGACGTTGCGGTCTATCAGATATCAGTATAGTCTACTGCTGGTTTGAAGCATACTTACTGTGCTTCTCAAGCGCCTGGATGATGTCGCGCAGCTCCTGTCGCGTTGTGAGTACGCTATCACGTGCAGCTCAATCGCCCGCCACTTACATCCCGCGTAGCAGTGTCTTCGTCTACGCGCGCCTGGAGATCCTGGAAGATGGCTGGATTAACCATGCCTGAATTTGCTGCCATCTTGACGTGTATTTTGATATCGGGGTGTTGTTGCAAGGAAGTTCGTGTTGAGGATTGAGCCGACGTTGTTTGTCACGGCAAGCTACAAAATTTCGGTCTCTCACTACTCACCGCGCGAAGTTGCTTTTACTCAGCTGTAAGCGCACGGAATAGACTAACAGTTCTTTCCAAAGTGATATCTCGACTGGATAGCATGAGTGCACACTAAATGAGATCAGCACAATTGTGCTACGATTGGAATGCGGCGCTTCCAAGGGCAGGTAAGCATGCGTGCGCCACCGACTGCTGTACAACATAGCAACCGCGACTTCACTCCAAGCACTTGTAGACGACATCTCATAATCCCGCTCCAGGTCCTCGCATAACTTTGGTCAGGGCTTACGTTCAAGGGCAGGATGTAGATGACCGCGACAGAGCACGAAATACGAACACAGTGTCGCTCTCACGTTTATCTGGACGCAAACGGCGAATACACATGCCTGATCTCATGCAAGGGATTATGCAATACTTAGACATGGATATCTCGATTCGATAGCTATGATGTCAACTGTCAGGTTAAGTTCAAAGTCACGATCAAACTCCTTCCTCAAGCTACTGGCAAGCCAGAAGTCTTAATGAAAAAGTCGCGTCTGCCAGAGGTAGTGAAATACTGGCGACACTGTGTCAAAGAAGGTGAGCAAGCCCAGAGCCTCTTCGACTGGTTTCAAAAATAGGAATAATCAAGAATTCTCCCGTAGGAGAGTTTCAGAGATTAAACTGAAAAGAACAGATACTACACTTGATCTAAGCCAAAAGGCAAAGAGAGCTAAAGAACAGAAGAGGAGGCAGAGGGAGCGTAGGAATATATACAGGCTGTGGCCTTGGCGCGCTAGACGTCACGTGAAACTCAGTAGCGTCGCACGTAACCTTTCTGCCTGCTGTCGGGAGAACTCCGGCATCCGGGCGCCTGTCGAACATTGCCGGTGATGTTGAGTCTCCAGGCTCCGGTATCACGCGTCACCTTTGCCTGCTCGGAGGCGTCGTGCTCCTTTGCGTAGCGACTCCCAGACTCACTTTTACCTTAAGGATACGTCATCGACATTGCGGCGAGATTGATCCCCGATGGCCCTTCGTCTGAGGATGGCGTCGCATGAGCGTAACGAGATGCGTCGCGAAGTGACCTGATTATCCCGAGTTGGTACAATGTCAGCGTATACGTCGTGCTTGGACTTGCATCCTCCATGTAAGGACGGTCATGTATACGTCTGGGCAACACTTCATGTACAACTCGTCAAGAGCAATCATCTTCACATACGGGTACATTTACATTCGTCTATGCTGATAGCGCAGGAAAAGCAATGCTGCCTGTAGAAGACGAGAACGCTCCACCACCCTCTCGAACAGATGCATACCGCGAGGTGCTCCACGTTCCATCACACCATGTCTCGCACTGTAATACTACTGCGAAGCCTCCGAACCCCCATGTCTCGACGAATCCGCTCGGCTCGCGCTCCCCTCATACACCGCATACCTCTTCATCTAGCTCGCCTTCTTCGTAAGCTTCGGCTTGCCACGCACCATCTTGTACCTTATACTCAACTTGACGACGCGACGCTCCTTCTTTCCCGCACTCTTCGCGCGCGTCTGGCGACCTTCCACCTCCCTTGGCTCCGCATCGACCGCATCGCTCGGCGCCACCATCGCGAGTTGTTCACGAGCGTGGAACTCGCAGCTTAAGAACCTTGCCTCTTCGCAGAACCACTGGAAACTTGGAGCGTAGCCGGCCTTTTTTGTGGTGTTGTATTCTCGACCTTCGATGAGCGAGATGTTGTCGTAGAGGAGTTGGGTCGCCCAGCTCTCGCCATCCCATTCGACTTTCATGTTGAGCGCTGATATATCGATGCCTTCTTCCTTTACGCGTTCGTCGGCTAGCGAACTGGGCGTCATGAGGCCGGTTGCAGCGCGCTCCGATGTGGCTGTCGCGCGGCGTATACGCGGCGCGATGGCGTAGAGGAAGAGAGGGCTGCGTAAGAAGAAGCAGAGGTCGTCTGATGCTCGCGATTAGTTGATTGTAGCTATACTGGCCTGGCTACTTACCAAGGAGTTGTGTCCGATCGTGCGACGGTAGTCTGCCCAACGAATCGTCGAGTGAGCTTTGGAGATGGCTGCGCAACCTGTCTTTGGGCTGCCCAAGACGGAGCCTTAGCTTCATCGTTGTGTTGGTAGGGGTAGCGAATTTGGTATTGGATTGCTGGTGGTCTTCGGGCTGTGTTGTATTCGTTTCGGTGATCGCCCAGGGTGAGAAGTCGCAAGATCGTGAATGGTGAGACTCCCGCGATAGTGCATATGAGTCGAGCCATACTTAGTGATGATATTGCCTTAGACCGCGGGCCGGCTTTCTCTCACTCGTCAACCTATAACAGTCCTCGTGCGCAGTGGTTAGTCATCATGGGCCTGTCGATCGTTCAAAGTGAAGGCGACGACCGACGACCGAACAGGCCTGCGGACTACATCACAATGAAAATATGCAAAGTAGATGACCCAACGCCAATGTAGACTCCAGGGTGTTTAGATTTCCGCTGAATGAGGTATCAATTTAGGAATGTTATCTGCTCGACAACTTGATGAATTGACTGATTGGGAAGCTAGCGACCACCATCTGAAAAGCGGATCTAAAGCAAGTGCTATACAGAGTCCTTGTACATCCTGCCGCCCCAAATTACACCCACGACGTCGTTGATAGGTGGACTTGCGCTACTCGACAACCGCCTCTTCAGCCTCTTTCTCCCTCGCTATACGCCTTTCCTCGGCCTTCACACGGTCCTCCTCATCCTTCTCGCGATACTTCTGCGCCAGGCTATGCACCCTGGCAAAAAGCTCAACCATCGCCTGTCTCTCCGATTCCGTCGACCGACCCTTCATGAGCGTCCATTCGCCAACCTGAAAGCGCGCAACAAAACCATCAAACCTGACATCATCAGTATTGTTGACCTCTGGCCCGCTTTGAATGGTGATAGCGATACGGTTCCGGCATGCCTTCTCGGATGCGTCGAACAAGTGCGGGAACGGATTAGACACTGTGGTGCTCTCTTCAGATTCATTAGACACCGACGAGACATCACCGTCGACGAGAGTTGTCGAAGTAGAAGGGATAGGTACTGGCTCGACGTTTTCTTCGTTCTCCCAGTCGTAGTGCTGTATGTTTTTCCGCCCTGTATCGAGAAGGTAGATGATGTCGCCTTACCACAATGTCAGCTGCTTGGTCGCAAGATAATAGCCATTACTTACTACGCCAAGGTGTGTATTCATGATGGGTAAACTGGGGTAGGGTTCTGTCCAACAACACACTATCAATACAGTTACCAAACTGCCAGTCGGGTGTTCTTGCGGCCATGACTTGTTGGATGTTGCTGTATTCTTGGAGTTGAAGATGATACGGGTCCGGCAGCAACAAGCCTATCATATAATACTCTCGTTTGATGTCAAACCCAGCCGGTGGTGTGTGCAGCAGTCTGGCTTGCTATTTATGAGTGTCGCAAGATAGCTTGGCTGATCATGCCTTTCCGCATGTTTGCGAAAGCGGCTTCGAGCAATCGAGCTGCATATCCACAATGTCTCGACAAGCATCACTCAGAGTCAGGCAGCCTTGGATGATTGACTGGTACCGTTGATAGTTTGGTACAAGCCTAGTATACATTATGATAGAACAAATGGTGGCCAGCAACAATCCCCCGCGGCCAAGAGGTGAAGCACAGGGCACTAGTAATACAGACAGGCCATGGAAGTAGCCTCAGTTTCGCCATGAGCCACATCACTCATACTCTCGTGCCAAAGTAACGACCTTGTGGAACACATCCAGCAGCGCATCCGTCGGCGAGGAGGTACTCCTTCCCTTGGCCATCACATACCCGTCAACAACGATGAGAACAACACTGCCCTCGAACACCGTCGCACCACGGGAGTCCTTCTCCGCGCCCTCGTAGCGACGAATATCCAACTTGTTGTTGCAATCGTCACGGTTCTTGGCGTTGAAGGCTGGGCGACTGATGGGAATGCTCGAGTGATTCTGTCTGCCAGGCATGGTCGTGCATGAAGGTGGGGTTCGCAAGGAGAGCTTCAATGGCCTCTTCAATGTGTTAGCAAACATATCAACATGTTGAAGAGCGTGAGACGTACTGAGAAAAGGTGTGTAGTCTGAAGCGGTGAGAAGCGGGAGACCACGGTACTTCTGGTCCGCTAGCATCGTCTGGAAAGCGTGTCGTACTGGGTTGAAAGTCATGTCTGGGAGTTGTACTTGTTGGATTGGAGTGTAGATATTTGCGAGTTATGTTTCGGCGGGACCAGGCTTTTATGTGGTCGGCGGGGTGCTTGATCTGATGCCTTACTCATGTATTCGGCTTGTTGATCGTTTGCTGCTGTCACAATGGAAGATAGAACTTTGCCAATTGTAGCGGTATCATCTCGCGGCATGAAGGCGATGTCACCGTGCCCGTGGAGACCCCCTTCTGGACGTTTGGCATAGTCCGCAAAACCCACATGCATTGGCGCGCCACACTCACAAAACGAAGAACTCGCGAATCATCTTCTGATTTCCGTTCGCATCAAGGTCCCCAATCCATGCGGCTGGTAGAAATGTCGCGGAGAAGCCACCCTTTTCGTCCATCCCAGCCTTGATTATGCAATTCCATAATCTCGCTTCTTCTACTGGCCAGCCGGTGGTTTGGTCTACTTGGGCTTCTTCCAATTCGATCGCTCGTTTGGACACCGCCACATGTTGCCCCGCATCCCAAAGGCCCTCGCGTGGTGGGTTACGTTCTAGAAGCGCTACTGCCTTTCGTCGGGTAACAGGACAGCGGCATCGAGTTGCGACAAAATAGAGCTGAGGAATTATCGCAATGTCGAAAGTGAAGTGAGCGGTGTTGGGGTTCGTGGGCGGCCTCGAGTCGATGATTGCTTGGGCATACGTAAACAAACGTCGTGTGATACGAAACCTTGAGGGCGTTCGCAGCCATTGATTCATCGTTCGAGAGCGCATGATGCTTCTCGAAGCGCTGCATGTTCTCGTACCAGAGATGATGGCACGCCAACAGATTCTCGCGTTCTCGATACAGTTCAAGACTAGGATCCTGCCGAACGAGTGATCTTCTTCCCATAATATACAGATGAGTTATAGATGCATTGCGAAGCTCGAAGTAGGCCTGGTGCGTCTCGGAGAGACTCGCAAATGAGCGCTTGGAGTACGAAGCAGGCATCACTTGCAATATCTCCAAATCTTCCTGAATTCTGGCGCCATAGAGCAAAGCTTGCGCCATGCCGCGGGTGAAGATAGACACCAACTTGTCTTCTGTTGAGCTTCTCGAAGGTCCGGACCCGACCAATGCTACCTTTGGGGGATACGTGGTTTGTAATGAGCCCCGATAGTTCGGTAGTGCCATGCGGGGCGCGTACATTAGTTTGAAGCCGTTTCTCAAATGGGTGAAGGCGGCATGGTAGTTGCCTTGGAGGAACTCAATGCAGACGAAAAGAAGACAGATAACGAGTCCAAGCTCCGGCGAGTAAGTGGCATCGCTCATTCGATTGACTAAGCAGCCAATGGACTTGTTGTAATGAGATAACATGACCTTGCGCTCGTGATTGGCAATGAAGCCCGCGCATGCATGCTTCATATCTCCAGGCTCAGTTTGGCAAAGAGCTCCCAGAGCTATCACGGCATGGCGCACGGCCGGTTCCGAGTGGGCCATCTGCAGTACGATACGGGACCAAAATTCTTTGTCGAAGTTGGTGGAGAGTGCAGGGCAGGCGCAATGATAGTAGAAGTCCAGATAGCGTGCACTATCTCCAAGGCCACTGAAGGCAGAGATGGCATTCTGTGGATCGGAGGCTCTTCCATGAGTCCAGACATGGACTTGGAACTTCGCGTCGTTTGTAGTGTAACCATCGCATTTGCGGCCAGTACGCACACACCTGACAGCATTAGCTCACGGAATGATCCGCGAGAACGGGGAGTCAATGCTTACTTGAGGCATTCTGGCTTCTTCTCATCACATTTGACGCGTCGCACTCTAGAATCGATGTGTCAGCCTTTTGTCACATGCAAAGGTGTCCGCTGCGTACTTGCACGTTTTGCAGCCTGTCTTCACTTTTGGAGCCCGTCTGCGGGCTTGGAAAGACGCCTCGCTCGTCGAAGACATCCTGGATGCAGGCCAGAGATGGCGGTAAGAGTACGGCGTGACTGCATGATGGAGACGCGTGAGTATAGTCGGATAGGATACGCGACGAAGGTGCGAGTGTGGCGGACGGAAGACGGCCAATCATGACATCAGCGCCCGGAAAGCATCACGTGCTTTTACGAGCCGACCAATCGTGAGATGTCGAACCCGCAGATGTCCGACCACCTCATACGAGAAAAAAACCGAACAGGCCTAGAGCCTACATCAACGTTAGATCTCCTACTTTGCATGTTTCTATGTTAATGTAGACTGTAACCACAAGAACGTAGGCTACAGACCTGTTCAGTTTTTCCCTATGTTGACTTGCGACGACGTTGCAGATCAGGCGCGCAACGACTGGCATAGCGAAGAGTGCAGCATCCAGATGAGGCATTGTATCTTTTCATCGACGGGATATGTGGCTGTGCTTACATACAGCTATGTACATGCCCGCGCGCTCCCATGCCAGCTACTGAGTCGAAACTACCTAAGATACCTAGGTAGCTTACAAGAAGTCGCCGCGCGGAGCCTACATCGGCGCTACGCTTTGCCATTTACTTCTCATTGCCCTATCGTAGGCTGCACGCTTCTTCTGTTTCTTCAGGTTCCTTCTTGTCTGAGGAGCACCAACCGCTGCAACATGTTTTTCCCGCCGCTAAATCTTTGGAGATTTGGCGAGAATCATTGCATGCAACTCCAGAGCGGCCTTCTCAAACCCGTCCTTGGCCAATCCGTAGACCTCCTCGTCTACCAATGGGTCATTCCCCTCCTTCTCGCAGAGGTCGCCCTTGAGAACGATCGTTGGGGCCCCAGTGCGGCCGCGTTCCGGATGGACGGCCAAACACATATAGCTACGTCTACCCTCATGTCCTATGAACATGCAGAGTTGCCAGAGTGACTGTATACCATTAGGACCGAAGATACCGTGTACACCAAGGTTGATGACATAGTCGGACAGATAGTCTGAAAATATCCTGAGTCAGCGGAGGAGAAACCATGTGGTGCAGTGGGAAAGAGAACTTACAGACTAGACGATGCATTGCGTCCGGATTCTCCGCCCACCAGATAGCCAAGATATCTCGGAGGACCAGATATATGCGATCGTAGAGCATCTCGCGAGTGAGACGATCGAGCGGCTCGCGGTAGATCTGCGGCACATACGGTCCTGGTGATGGCTCTGGGGATGGCGACTTTGACTGCGTACCAATGACGGGCATGTGACCTGTCGGTGGAGCATACGGCGGGGACGGCGACTTCGACTGTGTACCCATAATGGGTATGCGACCTGTTGGCGGAGCATACGGTGGGGATGGCGACTTCGACTGTGTACCAATAATGGGCGGGGGAGCTTTCGGCGGAGCATGCTGCGCGGTGGTGTGAGAAGGAGCGTACGCGGTCGGTGGTATAGCCATACGCGAAGGCTGGAAGCTAGGAACTTTCGGGGAAGGCGGTGATAGCTGGCGTACGGACGTGGTTGGAGACATGGACGGGGAGGCTAGACCGGGCGACGGAGAAGTTGAGTAGCCCCTTGGTCCAGTCGTGACGCGAAGAGGATTCTGCGCCTGGTAGTCGTGCAGTCGCGACACTGCGTCGTTGGCGGTGCGGGAGAAGTCAGGAGGATAGTCGGCCATCGTGTGTGATATGCAGTTGAGACGGAACTTGTTCTTGGTAGAGGACGTCGGCTATTAAGAGCGGCGACTCAGGACTTGGAGGCTCTCAGATCATCAGGGCAAGCGGTCGAAGGAAGCAGAAGTGGGCGGTGATTGCTAGTGGGAGTCGATGGTTTGGAGTCGCGCTCGTCGAGAAGAGATTTCGGGTGCAAAGTGAGAGCGAAATGTGAGTGAAAGAGACTTGCTCATATCTGACGACTGCCTGGTCATGCGGGACTTCCACAGTGACATCCTAATCACGGAAGGCTAACATATCGTCCCCGTGCAAATCCCAGAGGTTAAGCTATACAATGCGGTTTTAGCAGAATGATGACGCCTGTTCCGACAGAACACGGTTTTACAGATTCACCTCTATCAAGAAAAAGCGTGGACACCGTGGAGCCTACATTAACATCAAAAGATGCGAAGTATGTAACTCAACGTCAACGTAGGCTCCAGGGTGTCCAAACTTTTCCTTGGATGAGGTGAATTGCCCTAGGACCCAAGCGGCGCAACGAATATAGTTTCCAAGTACCAGCTTCCATCAGGCGGGTTTGTCGAGGTGTCCTATCGCTCCAAAACCATATGCACAAATCGCGTGCTCTGCAATCTACATGAGCGATAAAGCCAAGAAATGACAGAACCCTGAGGCAACGTAGACATCTCGGTTATCTACTTCACCAAGGGCCAAGTTTTCAGTTTTTCCCGGAATGGGTGCTCGAGCATGCTCTCTTATGTGCGACTACGAGCCGCTGCGGTTACTTCTATTGACATGGTATGATATGAACAGAGGTGAGTTAATTCCACAAGGTTGTGAACAAAAGAGGAGGACCGCGACTTTGGTGCGAGTGGCGGCATCACGAGGTCGTATCGTTTCGTTGCCCGGAGAAAATCGTGGAGACGCAAATAGCACGGACTAGCCTGGATGTGGATACGACCTGCAGGGTGGGCCTAGTGCGGCTCGGGAAGTGTCAACAGTGCGCATTCACTCCTGACAACCGCCCCCATAGTATCCCTGACCCTCGTCGCACCCCACCGCGCCTTCTCTCGTTTCTGTTTACCTTGCGGACATTCACTCGCTAATCGTCCGCACCTTCCTCCGCTATCACACTTCACTCACTTACCGTCATCCACACCAAGCTACCGCCGCACACCGCGCCAGACCCGCCGCAACCCGAGCGACACCACACGTTTCGCAATCCGCCATCATGGGCTTCGGCGACTTCCAGACGATATGCGAAAAGGCACCGATACCACTATGCGCGCTTGTGGGCCACCAAGCGATCAACGATGGCGTCGGCATCCAGACAGAGTGCTATGCGCGCACGATTGAAATCGCGAATACCCTCATTTTCGAGGCGGCGAACGACTTCATGCACATTTTGGCCATGATCATGACCGTCGTCATGATTATCCATGTG